ATTCTTTACCAACACAAAAACTATAACCTTGGACTCTATTCTGATACCAATTATGACTTTCTCTATAGGTGTCTGTTACAATGACACAGATTTTTATGCCTTACCGAAACTCATTTGTTTACTCCTTGCAAAGACAGTCTGCCTTTCAAGGCAAGAAATTGCCCCTTGGGGTAAATCACTATCTAGAGTGTTTTGTTGTTGTTACTGCCCTCAAGTGAGTTCCAACTCATAGCAACCCTATCTAGGGTTTCCAGCTGATGGATTTGAACTGCAGACTTTGCCATTCTGACTGACCTTCTGGTCCAGTGTATTGTTCTGGAGCCCAGTCTGGACTACATGTATTAACATGGGTGAAGGAAAGACAGCATAACAGTATAAGGTGTATGGGTGAAGGAAAAGCAGCATACAGCACAAAATGATAAGGTCAAAGGAAGACAATGGGAGGAGTACAAGAGTTAAAGGCAATAAAGGTCAGTGCTGTTATGTGCACAGTCCTGCAATAACAGTGATAAAATTGTTTACAAATGAATACATAGATAGACTTATAAGCTGGATATGAGTGGGAAGACAAATGGGACTATACCCATGAGAGGCTATTTTTACATATGCATTGATTTGTATTGCAAATATAGCCATGAATATAGTAGAGCATGGGGAACGTAGTGGCTCTGTACAATATGCACTGAACTGTGAACACAATGTCAGCATTTCAAGCCCATCAGGCACTCAGCGGGACAAATATGAGGCTTTCTGCTCCTGCAAAGACATACAGCCTCTGCAGGCAGAAGAGACACTGGACTGTTGACGACAAGGTCTGTAGTTCAAAACTACCAGTCATTCTGGATATCCAATATGGGGTCTCTGTCAGCCAGAGCTAACTCAATAGCACTTCAGTACATCTAAATTTGACAGACTTTTTAATGTCAATTTTTTAATGTTTCATGAAAAACTGTATTTAGTTTGATATTTAATAATATTTTTTCTGTATATATGTTGTTGTTATTGAGTGCCCTCCTATCGGTTCATAGTGACCCAGTATAAGGTTTCCAAGGCTAGAATGCCTAGTTTTTTTGTTTTAATGTTTTTATTTTGGATTGAGTGAAAGTTTACAGGGCACATCATCAGCTTCACATTCAACCATTCATATAGCTTGTTTCATTACATTGATTATTATCCTCTCCATATATCATCAGTTAACAGTGTTTCTCTCTATCCTCTTTAGCTTTTTTTTTTTTTTGATTGGGGGGGACTTGCCTTTTTGGAATTTACAGTCTCGGCTTTTAGGGAAGGTTTTTACATTTGTCTGTGGATATCCAGGGCTCATGTATGAGATTACTAACAAGCATTACTGAATAATCAGATGAGGGACAGTTTGCTATGTCTACTAGGTAGCTAAAGTCTGATTCTCAGAGCCTATGATTTGGACGGTCAACAATGCTTGGGCCCTCAGGGGCTTGACCTCCTGATCGGGTCTGCATGGTCTGCATCATATTCCTCCTTATTTATTGTTTGTTTAAGGGACGCTGCCTGTCTTAGGCGGTCAGTGCGAATTCCTCAGTCTTACCAGTCATTGAAACTCATTGCAGCATGGCAATGGCTCTGTCTTAAGTTGCCGAGGTTCCACGTGATCCTTACCCGTCTCTGGCCACACGTCCAGCATAAACAGCCACCATCCGAGGAAGGCAGGGAGGGAGGAGATCAGCTGGGGACCCCATACGCAAGACATTGCCAGCCCACCACCTGCTCTAAGGTGACCAAGCAGGATCACTATGCTGAGGTTCAATCAAGTTCTTAGGGGATCTTACTCTCTAGCAGGGGTAGCAAATTAGGAGCCACTCAGTGCTCACTTTGAGAATTACTTATATCATAAATTTGAGCATGTAGCTGATGAATATCCACAGACAAGTGTATATTGTTCCACAACCTCCTAAAATGCTGTTGGATTAAGTTCCAATCAAGTTCTGGATTACTGAAAGATAACACAAATCTACTTATACCATGAATAACCCTAGCTGGGACAGAATGCCTAATTTTTCTGCTGAATGGTTGGTGGACTAGAACTGCTGACTTTGTGATTCTCAGTCCAGTGCTTATCGTGAACAGCCACCATGCAGTGTATTTAATGTAACATCCAAATATGTTTTTATGTATATCGTATGATTTTATCTATAAATGATGATATTGAAAGACTTTATGCACATCTGAATTTTATGTAATTTTGATTTAACAAATGGTTTTTCAGATGAAAAAAATAAAATATACAGCCTCAGAATCCCTATTCAGGGTCAGTATGAGTGAGAACCAACTTGATAGCATTTAATAACAACAACTCAGAGCATACAGGGGACAAAGTTACGAAAACTTCCTAGCCATTCCATACACTTTGAGGGAATGAAGTACTGGCCTGGGACCTCAGAACCATAGTCTCAGGGAACATCAAAGTCAAATGGCATAACATAGTTTACAAGCACGGTGTTCTATATACTACTTTGGTGAGAAGCAATATGTGTCTTAAAAGCTTCTTAGTGGTCATCTAAGGTGCAACATTTGTCCCTGCCCATCTGGAACCAAGAAGAGTGAAGAAAATAAAAAATGCAAAGGAACAGTTAGTTCAAATGTTTAATGGACCAGGTGAACCTTTGAGACCAGAAGAACTAGATGATGCCTGGCTACTACTGCTGATCACTCAAAAAGGGATCACAGTAGGAGATCCTGGATGTTGTTGTTAGATGCCATCAAGTTGGTTCTGACTCATAGTGACCCTGTGCACAACAGAAAATAATACTACCTGGTCCTTCACCATCCTCATCATTGTTATGCTTGAGCCTATTGCTGCTGCCATTGTGCCAGTTCATCTCGTTGGGGGTCTTCTTCTGTTTCACTGACCCTCCACTTTACCAAGCATAATCTCCTTCTCCAGGGACTGGTCCATCTTGATAATATGTCTGAAGTATGAGAGATGAAATCACACCATCCCTGCTTCTAAGGATCATTCTGACTATACTTTTTCCAACACAGATTAGTTTGGTCTTTTGGCAGTCAATGGTACTTTTAATATTCTCCTTCAACACAGTAATTCAAATGCATCAGTTCTTCTGTGGTCCTCCTTATTCATTGTCCAACTTTCACATGCATATGAGGCAATTGTTCTTGAATACTTTAAAGCGATAACAGCAGATTTGATGCTGCTTCCATGAGTGTTGATAGTGGATCCAAGTAAAATTAAGTCTTTGACAACTTGAGGCTTTTCTCCATTTACCATGATGCTATTTATTGGTCCAGTTGTGAGGATTTTTGTTTTCTTTATAAGGAGGTGCAAGGTCCTGGATAGAGAGAGAAAAATATGGAAGAAAACTAAAAATTCATTTAAAAAAAAAAAAAAAAGGCTGGGTTTACTGGTGGTTTAGAGACTGGTGGAACCCCCAAGAAAATGATCCTTTGTCACCACCCCCACCCCCCCCCATGGCCCAGCTTTAACCACACAGTAGACAGGCTTGTAAGGTGAACAATAACACTAGGGAGGTAGGCACTCCCTAGACAGAGCAACCCTTTGTGATCAAAGGGCAGCATTTACCTAGTGGCAGGAAGTGATAAGAAATGGTAAACACAATGAAGAAGTGTGAAGAGTGCCATTGCTTTGTTTGAATTGCAATTAATGTCACAAATCAAATTTGTATGAATTGTTGAATAGAAAATAAATTTGCTATATAAATTTTCACCCGTCACAATTAAAGTTTTAAAAACAAAAAAAGAAATCTTCCCGTACCCAAGCACGTTCTTGCGATGGTCAGCCTTTTCTCAACATCGCTTCTCATACACTTATTTTTTACCTCCAGAAGAATGGCAATGCTGCCCTCTGATTCCATATTTTTAGTTCTTTTAACAGTTCCCTTTACCAAAGATTCAGGACTGGTATGGCCACTTAGGTTTTGTTGTCTTTGCTTTTTGTTAAAGAAAACTAGGCATTAAGTTAAAGATGATTTGTCTGCTAAAATTTAGAATCTCTCCTATGATTAATATGTGTTATAAAAATAAATCAAATCATGACTTTGAAAGCTGTCCCAGTTTGCATTTTAGAAATAAATTTCTGCAATTTATTGAGAAAATAGAGAATCAAAGTCAGTTCTCTTAGTTCTGTAGTCAGACCAAAGTAATTCATTTTATAAATTCATGTTGCATTTGATGTTTAGGTATTAAATAATCTGTGAAGCAGAAAGGCTAAAAATAGTAATACAGATGTTAACCTTCTTTTCAAAAAGTCACATTACACTGCTTTTGCTTCTACAAAAAAAACCTACCTGTTTTCACTAACTGGAAGAAATCCAATGAGGAGTTTCATACTTCTCAGTAACAAAAAGACATCCTAAGAGGATTCTTGCTTTTATGAAAAAGAGGCAAAAAGCAAAACAAGTGTTCAGCATTTGTCTTGCAGCTCACACTCCAATCAGCAAGAGAGGCAAGCTCCTTCTCTGGGAACTATTTGTGCACACATTACCATAGGCTGTGTCATATTTTCCTGCTTTTACTATATGTTCATGTTACTTGGTGTGATTTTGGTAGGTTATTTTTTGGGTCAGAGAATGCTCAAAAACTTACCCCATACATATTAAAGGTACCTGCTTCTTAGCTTTATGCCCTTTCAGCTTAAGAAAGCTTTCATAGGAGCTCTCGACTTGCATGTAGTAGGGAAAACCTGTAGGTCCTGCTACAAGGGGGCTTCCAAAAGTTCATGGAAAAGTTACTATTTGGTGTAAGTCTGGAGTTGATGTAAGTCCCCAGTATTGAGTGGATTAAGGGATATAAACTTATCAAATCCCACAACAACATGCTTTGTACTCAAGGGTCATTACTTCTCAAATGCCAGTAGAAAGTATACATGCTAGTACATTTTTGTTGTGTATATTATATAATTGTTAAGGTATTCTTAAAAACATGTAGCATTAATTAACTGAAATAATTTAAATCTGTGGTTGTAACTTTTTGAAAAAAACAAACTTTAGCTTCTAGTAAAACATGGAGGAGACCTGTTTGCTGAAAATGAAAATAAAGATACTCCTTGTGACTGTGCTGAAAAGCAACACCATAAAGACCTGGCTCTCAATCTGGAATCTCAGATGGTATTCTCACGGGATCCAGAAGCTGAGGAAATAGAAGCTGAATATGCTGCATTAGACAAACGAGAGGTAAGTTTTTTTAAATGAAAAAAATTAAATGTCATAATATTTTTAAATTTTTATATAGTCTTTTCCTTTTAAAATCAATCATGTGTGATCTTTTTTACAGTATATGATGGGACTTCATAAAGTTCGTGGAAAATAGAATTAAATGATAATGGAATTCTTCCATGTGCTTTTTGAAACCTCCGCTTACTAAGTATCCTGGGGTCTATCTAACCATTTTGTTGTTGTTAAGTGCCGTCGAGTAGGTTCCAACACATAGCAACCATGTATAGAGTTTCCAAAGAGCAGCTGGTGAGTTTGAGCCACTGATCTTGCAGTTCAGACAGCTCTGCAGTCCTACACATTAACCCACAGCACCACACCAGGACTCCATCTAACCATTAGTATAACAATATATCTAGAAAACCCCAAGGGGAAGCCTTTCCTCCCATATATGTGAAAACATCCACTTATATATAAATAATGGTGCTCGTGTGTGATAAGAATCCTGTCTACCACTGATGCTCCAAGATTCCAATCTCTGTGTTCATCAGTCTCTCCCTCTCTTGTGAATTATTCTTATCAACAAACACACCACAGTAGCTCTCATTTTAAATGAAAAAAAAAAAACAAATACTGTATTGACTACCTTTCCAGCCTTCCCTCACCTAGTTTTGCACCTCCCCATATATGATTTTCATATACAAAAAGCAACGCATTAAAGTTATCTCTCCATACCAGCTTCCATTCACAAGAGTGAGGGAAAAGGAGTCTCTAAAATAGTACTGGAAGAAAAGAAAATTGAGAGAACCTTTAGGACAGTTTAGCAGTATCTCCTAAAGTACTTGTCTGTCAGTTTGTCATACTTTAGTGGCTGCATGTTGCTGTGATGGTGGAAGCTATGTCACCAGTATTTTAAATATCAGCAAGGTCATCCATGAAGGACAGGTTTCATCTGAGCTTCCAAACTGAGACAGACTAGGAAGAAGGAGAGGCGGGCTACTTCTAATTGTTTATTTAGCCTTGAAAACCTTATGAATATAACAGTGGAACACTGTCACATAGCACCATAATATTGAATATTGAAACATGAATAGCAACAGAATATTGTCAGGTACTGTTATTGTTGTTGTTAAGTGCCGTCAAGTGGGTTCTGACTCATAGCAACCCTGTATAGAATTTCAGAGGAGTAGCTGACCTGGTGATCCAGTGCTTATCATACATCACTACACCAAGATTCTAATATAGTGCTGGAAAATGAGCCCGTCAGGTTGGAAGGCACTAAGAGTACAGCTGCAGAAGACTACCATGATGATGCGAATGGAGTAAAGCTTTTGAGCCCTTCATTTGTTGATGCATCATAACTAAAAATGAGAAGAAATAGCTATAAACATCCATTAATAATTGGAACATGGAATGTACAATGTATGAATCTAGGAATATTTGAAGTTGTCAAAAATGAAATGGAACGCATAAAGAATAGATATCCTAGGTGTTAAAGAATTGAATAAGGAGCTCAGGTAGCGTAGTGGTAACGAATCGGACTGCTAACCTCAAGGTCCGTGGTTCGAAACTACCAGCTGTCCCACGGGTAAAAGTTGAGGCTTTCTGCTACCATAAATATTTGCAGCCTCGGAAACCCTGTGCAGGTTCACTATGAGTCGGAACCAACTCCATGGTACTTAACAACAACAACAACAATTAATTGAATGAACTGGTATTGGCAGTTTGAATCTGACAAGCATATGGTTTACTATGCCAGGAATGACAAATTGAAAAGGAATGACGTTGTGTTCATCATCAAAAAGAACATTTCAAGCTCTTTCTTGAAGTACACTGCTGTCTGTTAAAGGATAATATCTACATACCTACAAGGAAGATCAGTTAATGCAACTATTCTTCAAATCTATGTACCAGCTAATAAAGCCAGTGATGATAAAGTTGAAGGATTCTATCAAATTCTTCAGTCTGAAATTAATAAAACATTCAGTCAACATGTATTGATAATTACTGGTGATTGGAATCCAAAGGTTGGAAACAAATAGGAAGAATCAATACTTGGAAAATGTGGCGTTGGTGACAGAAATGATGCTGGAGATTGCATGATAGAATTTTGCAAGACCAATGATGTCTTCATTGCAAAAAATACCTTTTTTAAATAACAAAAACACAGCTGTACACATGGACCTCACCCAATGGAATAACCAGAAATCAGAAAGAACAAGTGGAAAAGACCTATGTAGTCAGCCAAAATAAGGCCAGTGGGCAGACTGTGAACAGATCATCAATTGCTCATGTGCAATTTCATGCTGAAGCTGAAGAAATATGAAACAAATCTACAAGAGCCAAAATATGACCTTGGATGTATCAGACCTGAATATAGAGATTATGTTAAGAACACATTTGATGAATTACACACAAATGACTGAAGACCAAAAGAGTTGTGGGAAGAAAGCAAAAGGTCATTAAGAAAACAAGACAGAAGGAAAAGATCAAAATTGTTTGTCAAAAGAGACTCTGAAACTCGCTCTTCACCGTAGAGATGCTAAAGCAAATGGAAGAAATAAGGAGATAAAGTATTGAATAGAAAATTTCAAAGGGCATCTCAAGAAGACAAAGTCAAATAGTATAATGAAAAGACTTAGAGTTTGAAAACCAAAAGGGAAGAATATGCTCAGCATTTCTCAAGCTGAGGGAACTAAAGACAAAATTCAACCCTCAACTTGTAATGTGCATGGATTCTGTGGACAAAATATTAAATGATGCAGAAAGCAGCAAAAGAAGATGGAAGGAATGCACAGGGGTTGAAATGGTTGCCGTTCAACCATTTAAAGAAGTAGCATATGATCAAGACCAATTTGTAATGAAGGAAGAAGTCCAAGGTGAAAAGGCACTGACAAAGATCAGGGCTACTGGAATTGATGGAATACAAATTGAAATTTTTCAACACACTCATGTAGCACTGGAAGCACTTTCTCATCTGTGCCAAGAAATTTGAACGACAACTACCTGGCCAACCAATTGGAAGAGTTATATATTTGTGCCCATTCCAAAGAAAGGTGACCCAATGGAATGCAGAAATCATCAGACAGTACCACCAATCTCACATTCAAGTAAAATTTTACTAAAGATAATTGAAAAAAATAGTTACAACAGTACATTCACAGACAGTTGCCAGAGCATCAAGTCAGATTCAGATGAGGATATAGAACTATGACTATAATTGCTGATGTCAGATGGATCTTGAATGAAAGCAGAGAATACCAGAATGTTTGTTGTTGTTGTTGTTAAGTGCCATCAAGTTGGTTCCGACCCATAGTGACCCTGTATAGGGTTTCCAAGGAGCAACTGGTGAACTTGAACCACTGACCATGCAACTCAAACGACTTTACAGTCCAACACATTTGCCCACAGTGCCACACCAGGACTCCACCAGAATGTTTACTTGTGCTTTATTGATTGTGCAAAGGCTGTAAGCTGTGTGGATCTTGGCAAGCTATGGACAACATTGTGGGGATCGAGTATTCTGTAACACTTAATTGTGCTCATGAAGAACCTGTACATAGACCAAGAAACAGTTGTTCAAAGAGAGCAAGGATGGTTTAAAATCCGGAAAGGTGTGTGCCAGGGTTGTGTTCTTTCACCATACTTATTCATCCTGTATACTGAGCAAATTATCCAAGAAGCTGGGTTCTATGAAGAAAAACATGGCATCAGGATTGGAGGAAGACTCATTAACAGCCTGAGATATGCAGATGATATAACCTTGTTTGCTGAAAGTGAAGAGGACTTAAAACATTTACTGACAAAGATCAAAGAGCACAGCCTTTGGTATGGATTGCATCTTAATGTCAAGAAAACAAAAATCCTCATCATAGGACCAATAAACAACGTTTTTATCAACCGAGAAAAGATTGAAGTCGGCAAGGACTTCATTCTTCTTGGATCAACTATCAACACTTGAAGCAGTAGTCAAGAAATCAAATGATGTATTGCATTAGGCAAATCTGCTACACAAGACTTTTTTAAAGCGTTAAAAAGCAAAGATGTCAGCTTGAGGACTAAGGTGCACCCAACCCAAGTCATGGTATTTTCAATAACCTCATTTGCATGCGAAAGCTGGACTGAATAAGGAAGACTGTAGAAGAATTGATGCTTTTGAGTTATAGTGTTGGAGGAGAATATTGAAGGTGCCATGGGCTGCCAAAAGAACCAATAAATCCGTTTTGGAAGAAGTGCAGCCAGAGTGCTCCTTGGAGGCCAAGATGGCCAAACTTCATCTCTCATACTTGGGACATATTGTCAGGAGGGACCAGTCATTGGAGAAGGGTATCATGTTTGGTAAGGTGGAGGGTCAGAGAAAAAGAGGAAGACCCCCAATGAGATGAATTAGCCAAGTGGCAGCATCGATGGACTCAACTGTGGCAACAGTAGTGAGGTTGACCCAGGACCGTGCAGTTTTTTGTTCTGCTGTGCATAAGGTCGCTATGGGTCGGTACTGACTCAATGGCACCTAACAACAACAACAATATTATACATCATATCAAAACATGTTGTCATTAAGTGTTGTCGAGTCAGTTCCAACTCATAGCAACCCTATGGATTCCCTAGGCTATAAATCTTTGTAGAAGCAGAAAACCGTCTATTTCTCCTTTGATGCAGATGTTAGACTTGAACCACCAGTTTTGTGGTTCAAAGTCCGGTGCTCATCCTACAGAGCCACCATATGTCAGGCTCTTTCACAGTTCTTCAGTGGCCTTATGGTAGTAGCAGTATGTACCGGTACAAAAGAGGTTTACTTTTATGTGCTCTTTCTTTGTAGTTTCCTTTTCTTCCTTTGTATCAGGACTGACGGTTTGAGAAGTTATTGTTGGTTTGTATTTAATCTGAAAATAGAAGCAGTTTATCTATGCAGCAGGAAAGAGGAAGGCACCTTCATTTTAATCCTTCCTGCAGAAAATAGAGCTAGTGCCCATTTGGGACTGAGCAATGCTTCATATGACCTAATTACAGTTCTGTTGCAAGGACTGAATATGTTACGTGTTCATGAAGGCAGTATGTCTTTCTCCTTCAAGAACTATTTTTCTTCTAGTGTACACTATTTAACACTAAATGTATTTTTCAGTCTTTGCAGATTGCTTTATAGTATACCTTCTTGCTTAATAAATCTCCACTACTTGTTTTGTCAGTTTGTTATACTGTGGTGGCTTGCATATTGCTGTTATGATGGAAGCTATGCCACCGTTAATGTTAAATACCAGCAGGTACACACATGTTGGACAGGTTTTAGTTGAGCATCCAGTCAAAGACAGACTAGGAAAAAGGAGATGCCACTGAAACCTTATGAGCAGCAGTGGGTCACTGTCAGCACCAGAATACTGAATATTGAAGCATGATGAATAGCACAGAATATTGTCAGATATAGTGCCAACAGATGAACTCCTCAAATTGGAAGGCACTCAAAATACAAATGGGGAAGAGTTGCCTCTTCAAAGTAGAGTTGACCATGATGAAACAAATGGAGTAAAGCTTTCAGGACCTTCATTTGCTGGTGGGCACAACTCAAAATATGGAGAAACAGCTGGAAACATCTATTAATAATCAGAGAACATGGGATGTATGAATCTAAGAAAATTGGAAGTTGTCAAAAATAAAATGGAATGCATAAACATTGATATCCTAGGTATTAGTGAGCTGAAATAGACTGGTATTTTCCATTTTTAATCTGATAATCATATGGTTTACTATGCCAGAAAAGAAAAATTGAAAAGGAACGGCATTGCATTAATCACCAAAAAGTACATTTAAAGCTCTATCTTGAATTACAATGCTGTATATGATAGGATAATATCCATATACAAGGAAACCACTTTAACATCGCTATTCAAATTTGTGCACCAACCACTAAAGCCAGTGATGATGAAATTAAAGAATTCTGTGAACCTCTTCAGTCTGAAATTGATCAAACATGTAATCAAAATGCATTGATAATTACTGGTGATTTTAATGTAAAAGTTGGAAACAAAGAGGAAAGATCAGTAATTAAAAAATATGGTGGTTGTGATGCAAACAATACTGGAGATCCAGATAGAATTTTGTAGGACAAATGATTTATTGCATGGACTGCTAGAAGAACAAACAAATCTGTGTCAGACGAGGTACAGCAAGAATGTTCCTTAGATACCAGGATGTCAAGACTTTGTCATACTTTACACATATTATCAGGAAGGGACATTCCCTGGAGAATGACATCAAGATTAGTAAAGTAGAAGGTCAGCAAAACAGAGGAAGACCCTCAACAAGATAGACTGACTTAGTGGAAGCAACATTGGACTCAAGTGTAACAGTGACTGTGAAGATGGCAGAGTGGGCAGTGTTCCATTCTGTGTGCATAAGACTGGTATGAGTCGGAACCCACTTGATGGCACCTAACAGCAACAACAATTGTCTTCCAGAGTCATCCACGTATGTTTCTTGCACTCCTCATTATTCTTTGTCATTCCATAGTATGTATCCAACTATTTGTTAAGCGTTTATCTGTTGATGGGTGCTTAGGTTGTTAACATGTTCATGCTATTGTGAATAATGCTGCAGTGAACATAGGCTTACATATGTCTATTCATGTCATTGCTCTTAACATCTGTAGGATATATACTTAGGAGTAGGATTACTGAATCATAAAGTACTTCTATTTCTAGTGTTTTGAATAAATGCCATACCATTTTCTTTAGTGTTTGTACTATTTTAAAATTCCTCCAGTGAGTATGACAAATTTAGCCATGTAAGAGTTTGCTAGATGTTTTCAGGGGCTAAAGTGTGTTTCATAAATTTGCTTTTAAATGAAGTATACCTCATGGTTTTCTGACTTTTTCTACGGATATTTTGGATAAAATTGCAGTAGTTTGTTGTTGTTGTTGTTGTCGTTTCCTTGTTGCTGTTATTAGTGCCAACCCAGTATAGGATTGTATGGATTACATTTTCATTTCTTTTTCTAGTCAAGTTCATGGGATACATGTGTATGTATCGATTCATGTCAGTTTAGCAAAATACATACAATAGATTGTTAATGCAGTGAGATAATGAAAGGTGTTTAGCTTTTCTTCATCGCCATTTAAAAGAAATAAATTCTAATTTAAAAATGTAAATAAATGTAAAAGGAATAGTGCTGCTGACTGTGCATAGCCACTTTTTAACATCCCCAGTGGCTTGGCTTTCTTGAGGGGAAAAAAGTGTGTTGAATGTAATTTTTATAAATTTTTTTTGTTATTAAGTGCCATCTAGTCCATGCCAACTCCAACTCATAGCAACCTGCACAGCTGGACGAAACACTGTCTAGTTCTTCACCAATCTCACAGTAGTTGCTACACTTGAGCCCATTGCTGCTGCCTCTGTGCCAGTCCATATTGTTGAGGGTCTTCCTCTTTTTTCGCTGACCAACTACTTTACTAAGCATTATGTCCTTCTCCTGGGATTGGTTCCTCCTGATAATATGTGCAAAGTGTGAGAGAAGTCTGGCTATCTTGGCTTCCATGGAGCATCTCTTTGTACTTCTTCCAGCATAGGTTGGTTTGTTCTTTTGGCAGTCCATGCTACTTTTAACATTCTCCTTTAGCACCATAGCTCAACTGCCTCAATTCTTCTCTGGTCTTCTTACTCACTGTCCAAATTTCGCATCCATATGAGGTTATTGAAAATACCATGGCTTGGGTCAGATATACCTTAGTCCTCAAGCTGACATCTTTGCTCTTCAACACTTCAAAGAATTCTTGTGCAGCAGATTTGCCCAATGCAGTAAATCGTTTGATTTCTTGACTGCTGCTTCCATGAGTATTAATGGTTGATCTGAGCAGAATGAATTCTTTGACTACTTCAGTGTTTTCTCTATTTATTTATTAGTTCAGTTGTGAGGATTTCTGTTTTGTTTACATTGTGATGCAAGCCATCCAGAATACTCATTTCCTGCATTGTTCATAGTTTGTCATGATCCACACAATCAAAAGCCTTTACGTAGTCAGTAAAGCTCAGATAAACATCTTGCTGGTATTCTCAACTTTTAATAAGTATAAATATTTGGTAGTTCAGTGACAAATTGTGTGTCTACATAAGCACATGTAATTTATTTGTGAAACAAAAAGTTACATAAAAACTTTGTGATTATTGCTTAACAGTGGGATTGTTGGTTTTAGTTTCTAATGTTTTTTGTATCATGCAAATTTCAAAACTGTAAAGTAAGATGGTATTGTCATTTTAATGTCAGTTTTGTATTAGAACGTTGCAGACATGAGCCTCAGCATCCACTTTCAAGCTTAAAAGAGACTTATAAAAGGGTGGTTTAAAGTCCATGGTTTTGTTGTTGTTAAGGACCCTCGGGTTGATTCCCAACTCATAGTGACCCTGTATAGGGTTTCCAAGGCACTACTAATGTGGTTAGCAGTCTGGTGTATAACCTATGGTACCACATCAGTACTCCTGGATAGTGGAGCATAGAGCTTTTTTAACTTCAGTTACCAAATTGAAACTGGAAAAAATTGTAATTAGTAATTACATGTATCTGTTTATAGGCATTTCAAAACTTCTTCAGAATATAATGGAGTCTTGGTGTGGCACTGTAGGATAAGCACAGTTGTGTTAATACCCATCAGCCACTCCTCTGAAATAGTTAAAGGATTGCTGTGAGTCAGAACTGACTCAATGGCACTTACCAACAAGAAGAAGAATATAATGCTAATTTAACTTTCTTTTTCTTCTTTTAAAGCCATATGAAGGATTAAGACCTCAGGACCTTCGTCGATTGAAAGATATGCTTATCGTGGAAACTGCAGACATGCTTCAGGCTCCACTATTTACTGCTGAAGCTTTACTTCGTGCTCATGGTAATGAACCCAATGTCTAAATACTCTCATAATATGAATGCCTTTGAAATCTCAGAAGTAAAAGATGGCTATTTTATTGTTTTAATATCAAATGAAATAATTTGTTGTCAAACAGGTCTGAGTGGTTTTTTTGTGCAGTGATCATTGCCGTCTACAGCATCCTCCTGATGTTCTAATTTTTACATATAAGCTGACTGTAAAGCATACAGGGGAAATATCTTCATAAAAAATCAGCTAGTTACAGTGTGTAATTTTAGAAACGTGCCTGATTTAACAGGTCATAATGTGGCACTTTAGGAGCTCTGGTAGCGTAGTGGTTACGAATTGGGCTGCAAACCACAAGGTCAGCAGTTCAAAACTACCAGCTGTTCCTCAGGAGAAAGATGAGGCTCTCTGCTCCCAGAAAGATTTATAGCCTCAGAAACCCTGCACAGGGTCGCTATGAGTCACAACCGACTCCACGGAACATAGCAACAACAACAACAACAGTGTGGCACTTTAAGAGTCCTGGTGTGGTGCTGTGGGTTAATATGCCAGACTGCAAAGCTGTTTGAACTGCCAGGTTGGCGGTTCAAGCTCACCAGCTGCTCCTCGGAAACTCTATACAGGGTTGCTATGGGTTTGAACCGACTCGACAGCACTTACCAACAACAACATCGGTCTACTCCTGGTTTTGATACTAACTTTTGCTAAATTCATTCTAGTATAAAGCTGTAGTAATTCAGTTAAATACTTAGGGATTGTGTTACTGTGTTGTCAGTCTTACTTCTTTTATGTGAAATCCATTTCACTCCATGAAATACTCATTACAGAGTTTTGGAGTCAACTCAGAACTATCCCTTTTAAGGTGTTTTATTTGAGGACCTAACCAACTTTTCTTATGTCTTCCCATAAGTACATTACGTTCAAAGTTCTCTGTGACTCCTACGACACTCATTCTGGAAGAGCGCACAGGCTGAGTTAGAAACTCTCATTGAAACTTGATTATTTGAATTTTGGCCTTTTTCAAAGAAAAATATGTTCTAACAATAATAAAAAAAAACTTTTAAAAAGAGAAAGGCAATTAATTATTTTATTCAAGTCATTTTGATGCTCTCTGTACTTCAAGTATAGGTCTTTGTTGTATACGCCAAAAAATTTTGCTAATTCTCAAAACCTTTATATGATCTCTTGACCAGAAGAAAATTACAAACTTCATATTTATTATTCTTTGATCACACCTGTTAATAATTTGCCCATAACTGTCCAGAATCCCTGTTTTCAGTATTGATCTATCCCAGGATTCTACATGGGGCATAATTCTCCTACTGTGTATATATCCCACCCACTGATGTTGAGTTGATTCTAATTCATAGCAGCCTTTCGTATAGGCAAGAGTAGAACTGCCCTGTAGGTTTTTGAAACTGTAAATCTGCACTGAAGCCGACTGCCATAGCATTCTCCCATGAAAGACTGGTAGGTTCTGACTGCTGGCTTTTTAAAACTTTAAAACCAACCAAACTTTCTAAATGATCTTCATAACCCAGAATTCTTTGCATGGCCTGTCAGTCACCATTTCTTTACCTTACTTATTCTTACTTTTCGTTAGAAATTACCTCTTCTAGGAATCTTTTCCTAATTATGTCTTCCCGGGTCTATTGCCATTATATTTCCTTATATATGTGTCACACATTTAGAATACAATCTTGTAGTTAATCTATTAACTTTTTCTCTTCATCAACCTAGGAACTAGCGGAGAACAACTTTGTTTTTGTTTGTTTTCATAATAATGCCAGATATATATTGTTGTTGTTGTTAAGTGCCGTCGAGTCGACTCTGACCCATAACAACCCTGTATAGGGTTTCCGAGGAGCAGCTGGTGAGCTTGAACCACTGATTTTAAGCCTATAGAAAACACTTAAACGTTGTTGTTGTGACGTGCCATCATCGTTGTTGTTAAGTGCCATTGAGTCAGTTCTGACTCATAGTGACCCTGTATAGGGTTTCCAAGGAGCAACTGGTGAGCTTGAACTGCCGGCCTCGCGATCAAACGACTTTGCAGTCTGGCACATTAACCCACAGCACCACACCAGGCCATTGTTGGAAGTAGATAATACTTGTATGCATGAAATGTTACTTTTTTTTTTTTTTTTCCTGAAAATCCACCTTTTTGTTAGAAATTATTTTCCCCATTATATCTTTGCAGACAATCTTATAGAAAAAAAACCCAATTAGACCAATTTAAAAAAAAAAAAACATTTGTGTAAATTCAGGAGAGCTTTTTAACATCATGTAATTTAGAGTCAAAATATTTCCATTTTAGCCAGTAATAATGCTTAACTGCCATAATGCAACAACTTGCAAGGAAATGCAAAATACCTCTAGTTGTGTTTCTTGAGGATAAGGTTCATAGCATCAGCAGGTATATGCTTGTTCTTTACTTGAGCTTCTAAATACAGAGTATACATTTAATTGTAAAGTAGAACTGGCAGAAAAGAAAACCAGTGCATTATAATCTATATTGTTGCTCCTGTTAGGTGCCGTCAAGTTGGTTCAGACTTAAAGCAACCCTGTACACAACAGAATGAAACACCACCTAGTCTTGCACCATACTCACAGTTGTTTTTACATTTGACACCATTGGTACTATCAGTGTGTCAATCCATCTTCTTTGGGATCTTCCTCTTTTTACCAAGCATGAATTCTTCTCCAGTGCCTTGTCCCTCCTGATAACATGTCCGAAGTCTGAGAGACAAAGTCTTGCCATCTGGCTTCTATCGAGCATTATGGCTGTACTTCTTCCAACACAGATTTGTTTGTTCTCCTGGCATTTTTAATATTCTTCGCCAACACCATAATTCAAACCCATCAATTCTACTACAGTCTTCCTTATTCATAATCCAACTGTCACATGCATATGAGGAGAATGAAAATACTATGGTTTGGGTCAGGTGTACCTCATTCCTCAAACTGATATCTTTGCTATTGAACACATTAAAGAGGTCTTGTGCAGTAGATTTGCCTAATGCAATATATCTTTTGGTTTCTTGACTGCTGCTTCCCTGAGTGTTGATTGTGGATCCAAGCAAAATGAAGTCTTGGACAACTGCGATCTTTTCTCCATTTATCATGATCCAGTGGTGAGGAGTTTTGCTTTCTTTACACTAAGATGCAATCCAGTCTTTGTTCTTCATAAGTGAGTATTTTAAGTCTTCTTCACTTCCAGCAAGCATAGTTGCATCTTATCTGCATATTGCAGGTTGTTAATGAGTCTTTCTCCAATCATGATGTCATGTTCTTTATATAATCCAGATTTTCAAATGATTTGTGCAGCATACAGATTGAATACATGTGATAAAAGTATACAACCCTGGGTGCACACCTGTCCTGATTTGAATCATTCAGTATCCCCCTTATTCTTTTCGAACAACTTCCTGTTGGTCTATGTATAAGTTCCTCATGATCATAATTAAATGTTCCAGAATATCCATTCATTGCAATGTTATCCATAGTTTTTCATGAGCCACACAATTGAAAGTCTTTGTATCATCAATAAAGCACAAGTAAACATCTTTCTGGTATTATCTTCTTTCAGCCAAGATCCATCTGATGTCAGCAGTGGTATCCCTACTTCCACTTCCTCATCTGAATCCGCCTTGAACCTCTAGCAATTCCCTGTCCGTGTACTGTTGCAGCCATTTTTAAAAATACCTTTAGTAAAATTTTACTTGCATGTGATCTTAATGATACTTTTCAATGATTCCTGCATTACATTGGGTCACCTTTCTTTGGAATGGGCACAAATATGGATCTCTTCCAATCAGTTGATCAAGTAACTGTCTTCTAAATTTCTTGGCCTAGATGAGTGAGCACTACCAGTGCTCCATCAGTTTGTTGAAAGATTTCAATTTGTATTCCATCAATTCCTGGAGATTTGTTCTTCACCAGTGCTTTCAGAACAGCTTGAACTTCCTTCAGTGCCATGGATTCTTGATTATATGCTACCTCTTGAAATGGTTGAACATCAACTGTTTCAGTTTGGTACAGTGACACTGTGTATTTCTTTCATCTGCTTTTGATGCTGTCTGTATCACTCAGTATTTTCTTATAGACTCTGTCAGTATTGTAAGTGAAAGCTTGAATTTTTTTCTTCAGTTCTTTTGGCATGAGAAATGTTCAGTATATTCTTGGTTTTCTAACTCCAGATCTTTGCACATTTTATTATATAATACTTGGTGGTTATGTGCCTTGGAGTCGGTTCTGACTCATAGTGACCCTGTACAGGGCTTCCGAGACTATAAATCTTTACAGAATCAGAAAGCCTCATCTTCCTCCCATGGAACAGCTGGTGGTTTCAAACTACTGACCTTGAAGTTCGCAGCCCAATTCATAACCACTTCGCTACCAGATCTTTTCTAGCTGCCATTTGAAATTCTCTGGTCAGCTTATTTACTTCGTCATTTCCCCCATTCTCTTCAGTTTCTCTACACTCAAGTACAAGTCTCAAAATCTCTTCTAATATCCATTTTTTGTCTTTTCTTCTTTCCTGTCTTTTTAATGATTTTTTTTGCTTTCTTTTTTGTATGATGTTCTTGATGTCATCCTTGAACTCTTCTGGCCTTTGGTCATTAGTGTCTAATGCGTCATCAAATCTGTTATGGATATGGTCTTTAAATTTTGGTGGAATATATTCAAAGTAATATTTTAGCACTAGAGGTCTTGTTTTGATTTTATTCAGCTGCAGCCTGAACTTACGTATGAGCAATTGATGGTCTGTTCCACAGTTGACCCCTGGTTGGCCTTGTTTTGGCTGATGATAGTGAGCTTCTCCATCATCTCTTCCAAACAGATGTAGTCAATTTGATTTCTGTGCATTCCATTTAGTGAGGTCCATGTGTATAGTTGCATTATGTATTGTTTAAAAAAGGTGTTTGTGACAAATAAGACATTGGTCTTGCAAAATCTATCATGCGATCTCCAGCATCATTTCTATCACACCAAGGCCCTGTTTTCTAACTACT